GCCTTCGGGTTTGACTTGAGCGTCGTTGAATTGCGAGCACGACTTGTATAAGTACCGACATACCATGTCTGCAATGCTAAGCTGTGAAAACACATCGCGAATAATGGAGCTACGACGTAGAAATCCATACACTTCCAAATGCTGTAAATGTGAGATCCCGTAAGTGAACAAACACGCGCTAGAGTCGCGTCAACACGCGCTGCTCGGAACATATTATGATATAGCCAATCATTCGCGCCAAGCCAATTTTGTGAATGCGGGTTCCTCCAAGCTCTCCTCAATCGTAAAGATGCAACCGCTTCCCTGGAACTAGTTGAAAGAAAACAATGCTTATGAGGGCCCTCACGCTTTCTCGACAAGCGAGACAATGTCGCAGATCAACTCCTCGCGGATGATGAATGTCAAATAGGGTTCGTTTTGAAGAGCAAGCTATGCGCATGAATGGAATAGGAGGAGGAGGGGAAGGCGGATGAAGTGACGAGGCGGAAAGGAATATGATCACGATTGCCACGAAGAGGAGCTGGGGCGTGAGCACGAACAGCCGCAGGAAGAGTGATCCCACCAGCCCTTTGGGGCGTAAGTGGTTTAATGCGCTTCCTGCTCTATCAACCACCTTCTCTCTAGGAGAGGGGTCCATCTCGGTTCTGCATTCACATACACCTCCTCCCCTGCCCAACTGGGACCATGAGGACCCTCCGCCATCCATAACAATACAAAATGCTCGTTGCTGCAAAATCTTGGGTCATTTTCAGGATGCCGCGAGCACGCTGCACTGTTTTCGACAAGGACGGGGGGACTGCCCGCATATCGCCTGCTGTGCGCAGGGCCACCATCCATGTCAGAAAACATTGTCTTGCTTCGGGTGATCCCCATCGAAACCTTAAGCGTTTGTTCCCGACGGCGCGCGGTCGCCTACATGGTCGGAAAATGTCATTTCCGAATTCAAAAAATGGTTTAACAGTGCTCCACGTTGTCACGTTATTCCATGATGTGCTCTATTATGCCCTGGTTTGTTCTCCACGGGTCGGCGTGACGTCCTGACGCCTGTGACGTTAGATGCGCCGTCTGTTATGGTGTTCCTATCAATTACGTTAATGTGTTGATTGAGTCTGTTAAGTTACGCTTATCCCTGTCACACTATAAGCTGATATGGTATGGTATGATCTGCTCTGCGCCACTGTGTTATGGCATTATATGGTATTTCGGCATGAACACAACGGCGGAACACAAACGCACGATGTCCGTCCAGGGGCATTAAGCTTTAGATCCGCTTCCCCTCGTGGGGGGCTATACCCACACCCATCGAAAGCGAGCTTGAACACGAACGCGGCAACGCGCTACAGTGGCCAGCCGCGCTAACGTCACAACACTCAGGGAAGAAGCGCAGAGGGAGGAGGAGGAAGAGGAAGAGGAGAAGGGGAACACCGCGACCAACTCAGCGGTGCACTCTGTGACAAACTGTCGAACTCAGTGGCAAGATGCGGCATGTAAAATATTAGGCTGCACCTCAGAGTCAATCGAGTCTGGCCCGCAAGTGGCAGCCGCCGAACGACGAGGAACAAGAGAGGAGCAGGAGGGCAGTGGAGCAGCGCTAAGAAGCTGACTTAACCAATGCCGTCGTCTTCAAAAGGGGCATCGACGACACGGACTCGAAAAGGTCGACCCCTGCGAGGTGGCCCCAACCACGACGCCAAGCCAAATGGCAATGACATATTCAATGTGACAGCGACGAATATATATATATATATATATAAGCATCTGGAATAAGCAAAGCTACCGCGTCAAGCAGACGACCGAGAGAGAGAGAGAGAAAGAGAGAAGGAGGAAAGAGACGACGTCAAGCCGAGAACCTGGAGCACCTTGGCCGCAGCAAGGTGGCCAGATAGCGGCCCGGAAACGCGTCTGCCAAGCACCGCGGGCAACCTAGTCGCCAAGACTCGCCTGAGATAGGGATCCGGCCGCCAGCAAAAGATTTGTCCTGCGAGCGTGACCGATACACGGGGCGGAAATTCGTGCAGTTATTCGCCTGTGGAATACACGAAGCGGCGGAGGAGGGGCGGGGGAGGGAAAGAGGGGAGGGAAGGAGACGAGCAAGGCGGAAGCGGTGGAACTGCCGTGCACGCACTCTGTCGGCCCCGCGGCCGGGACAGAGCCGATTGAGCATCCGCACAGCGCATCTCAGGATGCGCGCTTGAAAAACGCGGTCAATGCCAAAATTGACGCCCCCCCATGGCGCAGGCCCAAGAAGGCAGGGGACCGCCCCCCAACGACGACGACGACGACGACGACGACGACGACGACGACGACGACGACGACGACGACGGCAGCGACGGCAACAACGACGACGACGACGACGACGACGACGACGACGACGACGACGACGACGACGACGACGACGACGACGACGACGACGACGACGGCACGACGACGGCACGACGACGACGACGACGACAAAGAAGCGGCCCCTCCCCCCCAAGGCGTGGGACCCCCGGGGGAGGCGGTGGGTGGACAAAGCGTGCCCGCCCCCACCGGAATTCTGACTTCAAAATTCCGGTGCAAATCTCAACAAACAGCATAATCGAAAACGGAGGCAAGGGACGGAGGAGCCAAGGGAGGAAGAGAAAAGAGAAGAGAAAAACACACTGATCTCGAGAAGGTTTGTGGAACCGTCGGAAACCTCGCCAGGCGCTGTTCTTGAAGGCGCGACCTGCTCTGCTGGCGGCGCCCTGCTCCTACGAGGGCGCTAGCGCGCGCGGCCGGGAGCGAGAACGAGCGAGCAGGCTGCCCATCGGCTCCGCCGAGCAGGCCTCGCGGACTGCCGCTTTGAAGATGGCCCTGGCGTCCGCTGCTTCGACAGCTCTGTGGCGGACTACCAAAGGAGCGCGGTGGAGCGCGCAACGGCGCACAGCTCGAAGAGCGTCGAGCTCTTGGAGCGTGCGTGCCGCCCCGGTTCGCGCAGAGTTCGTAAAATCACACAGGTCCAAAAAATTGGACAGACACTGGGAGGCCGTTGGCCGCGAAAGACTACATTGCTCCTCACTCCACCGGCGGTAGTAGCTGCATTGGGCGTAGTGCTTGATGCTGCCCATGCCCTGGGCGCAGCCAAAGGCGCAGCGCCCGACCTGCTGGAAGCGCCGCGTGGCGACCCAAACTCTGAAGGCTGAGCGCAGGCCCGCGGCCATGACACAGGGCGGCACGAACAGACTCAGCGCCTCCATGTGCGACCGAAATCGCTGAACCCGCGCTCCTGGAACCACGCCAATGTCCCAATGATTCAAGTGGCGACGCATGAAAGCAGCAGCTGGGGCCCGTGAGCGGCCCGCCAGGAGGGCCTTGTGGCGCGCGGCCTGCCACGTGGTCTTCATGCGTTGCCGGGTCTCCTGAGTCGCTGTCCGCGCGCAGGGGAGCCCCTGCGCCAGCTCGAGCTCGTGCACTTGTTCCTCAGCGGCCTCAAGCACGAAGAGCGTGTTCGATTCCAGCCACCGCTCGATGGGAGCCGGCAGGAACTCGCGAAGAGCGCACTGCATGCGACGCCGAAGTTGCCTCGCCCGCCTCCGCGCTTGCAAGCCACCCTGCGGGACCTCATAGAGGCAGGCCCGCGCTTGCGCGGCGATCGACGCGCGCCGGATGCCCATCGGCTCGCAGGGGAAGCCGAGGTCCCTGAGCAGAATCAGGAATTCTGCACTCGCCCAAGCCCCAGGGCCAGGAAACAGCTCGGCGCACGCCCTGGCATCTGTTGCACAGAAGGCAGCCGGCAGGGGGCGCAGCTGAGCCACGAACACGACGACAGCAGCCACGAACACCTGGAAGGCCTCGCAGTGTGGAACACCCCCGGGCCGAGGGCCCCCAAAGCTGGGCGCGGCCCAGCATCTCGGCGAGCGGCGCGGCCCACGAAGCGCCCCCTGAGCCCCGCCCCAGGATCAGTCCCAAATGATTTGCCTGGGCCTTGATGGACATGGCCCCCCGCCCCATGGCTTCTCGGGCGACGTCAGCCCGCAGAGCCAGCTCGTCGTAGGCGAACAGGGGGGCGAACACCGCATCCCGAAAATTCAAGCGCAGGCCAGAAATTCGCGCGCAATCGTCGAACAGGCGGCGGAGCGTCGGCAGCTGGGCGAGAGCGCGCGCGACGAGGATGACCAGGTCGTCGGCGCAGGCCCGGGCGAGCGCGGCCGGCATGAGGCGCTGGAGGCGACCGCGAAGACGAGCGGCGACAGAGGGCGCCCCTGCCGCACGCCCCGCGCGAGGCGAGAGCCCGCGCAGCACGCGCCCTCGACGGCCACCTCGCACCCGTTGTCTTGGCAGAGAGCCCCCACAAAGCGCAGCAGCCAAATGGGCCAACCAAAGTGCCTGAACAGACGCCTCATGAAGCCGAGCTCGATGGACGGGAACGCAGCCTCAAAATCGAAGAAGAAAGCCGCAGACTCTGAGCCTGCGACGCAGTGCTCCGCGGGCCCCCCGTCTAAGTCGACCAGGTTAGCAAGCATCGATCGCCCAGGCAGGAAGCTTCTCTGGGCCCTGGAGATTATGCGCGCGACCGCGGCCTCAAGCACCATCCGGACCGCGGTGGCCGTTCGGCGGCTGTCGGCGTTGGTAACTTTCAGCGGGCGGACCTTGTCGACCGCGCGGTTGATCTCGCCCTCGGTCGCGCGCTCTGGGGCACCCTTCGGGATAAAGAACAGCAGGCTAGCATTGAAGTCCTCGCCGAATTCATGGAGACGGCGAAGGCCCTCTTCGCCGCAAATGTCGCCGAAAGCCTCGAACAACACCTCCGCCGCAAACGACTCCACTCGCCGCCGAGCGAAGATAGGGATGCCATTGGGGCCGGGCGAAGAAGACCGAGAGCTCCGAATCGCGCCACGTACGCGTTCCTTCTTGAGGCGGAACTGGTTGGCCGGAAAAGGACGCCACTATTCTGCAGGTCGGTGGGCGGCATCTTGCTTTAACCACTCCTCCAATTTTGCCTCGTCAAAGCCGCGACGCTGGAATGCCTGCCCCCAGTGTTATTGCAAAGCCTCTGCCATATCTCCGGGCGCTGTCCGCTGCTCGCCATTCCTGTCCATGATGGAATGGGCGGTCTCGAAATGACCTGGCCGGAGTCGGAAGATCAGCCGAGCGTTCCGGGTCCTCGCCCGAGCTGCCTGGAGCTCGCTGGACCCCCTGAGGTCGGCATGGGACCTGCCCGGCTCGCCCAGGGCGCGGCCCCTTGCAAGCTCCACGGAGCGGGCGCGCACCTGCTGGAGTTCGGCCGTCGCGTTGCGCACAAAGTCGCAAGGGTTGGCGACGAGGTCGCGAATGCGGGGGCATCGGCGCAAGCAGTTCGAGATCCCCCCAGCAAGCCCGCGCTCGAAGGCACGGATGAAACGAAGAGTGGCCCCCAACCAATCCTCCAAATACTCCGCAACGGGGCGGCCCGACCACTCTCGCTCCAGGTCCAGGCCGACCTGGCGCATGGCCGTCGTGAGGTGCGCAAGCTGTTGGATGCCCTGGTCGTCGGGGTGGCCCCGAAGCCGCTGCCCGCGCCCCAAGCTAGTGCACGCGGCGCTCGCAATCCTCGCGCCGGAGAGCGCGATCTGGAAGGGGGCAAAGATGCGGTGGAAGTCGCTGCGGGGCCTGCCGGGGGAAGACCGCCGCCCGGCGTGCTGACAGAGAGGGTTTGCGTGGGCACAGCAAGCCATGTGTCTGTCAAGTTGCTCCGAAGCGCGCTGGTCGAGGTAGATCCTGTCGAGGCGCGAGCGCGCGCTCGCGGACACGCGCGCGGGCGCATCCTGAAACACCTCGCAAATGATGAAGGGCGAGCCCAACACTGACTGAAAATGTCGCTCTTCACCGAGGTCCCTGGCTCTGGAGGCCCGCGTAGTGGACAAGGCCCGGCGCCTGGCCTCCTCTGCGACGCAATTTAAATCACCCCCGAGGACAGTCGAAACATTTCGCGGCGGGGACAGACGGCCAGCGATCCGCGATCCCAGGCAAGCCCGAAGCCCGGGGAAGCCAGAAACGCACGCCTGCTCATGTGGGCGGACATCGTACAAATCCATGTCGGTCAGGGCTGACCCGGCATGCGACTACCACGTCCAGGGCACCCAGACCTCCGCGCAAGAACATTTGAGAGCCCACCCTTGCCAGACGACCGTCCTGCTAGGGTTCGGATCGAAATTCTCCCAGAACGAGTTGCGGATGACCACCCCGACGTCTGCGCGGCCAGTAGATGGCCCTGGGGCCACCAGGCGGAGCAGCCTACAGGGGCGTGCCAAAGCGCGCGGTCCCCGGCCGCGCCGTGCGCCTCCGTGACCAGTAACACGTCCAACTGCTTCATGAGGTGCTGGAGGTACTGCATCTTCTGAGACCGCCGCCCCGCGTCGACTGCGAACAGCGCTTGGGCGTTCCACTTGCCGACTCGGAAGTCGCCTCGAAACTGACCCAGCCGACGATCGGGAGAGGCGGCGGGCATCGCAAGGATGGTCAGGCGGCCCCGCGGGACAGGGGCGAGAGGGGCAGCGCCGAGTGCACGGCGACACCGATGATGACGATAAATGCTCAGAGGAATTCCATCGCGGCGGCCTGCTCCATCCACATCCCGGGGAAGAACGCTGCCCGCTGGGAAGCTGAATTGGCCGAGTCGGGGCCGAAGACGATCGCCGTCGTGCACGGCAGCCTTGGGAGGGCAAGAAGAGGGAGGTGTCGCGGTAGGAATACTTGACGAATGCGGCAACTGGTACAGATGACTGCGACAGGAGCCCATGGCCTGGTGGCCAGCGTAGCCTGGCCCTGCCTCGGCAGGGAGGAGCTGCATGACGACCAAGAGCAGGAACCCGCTTTCGCCAATGCAACCGATGATGTGACTTCCCGACGGCGTCCCAACGCCGCCTCTGCATCTAGCTGCTCGGGGACGGGCCGACGCTAAGCCCGCCTCCGCGCTCCGTTTCCCGTTTCCGTGGTCATGTCGAAGCGCTCGTTCAGTACCTCGATGCCCACCTTCATCTGGCCGACGGCGATGACCTGCCCATGGAACGCAGCGTGCACCTGAGCGACCTCGCGGGCGACCTTCAGGAGGACCCGCACGCGCCCGCCAGCGCCGTCATGGAGCTCCGCCGGGATGCGCGCTCGAACTCGCCATGCTGCAGCGTCCTGTCGGCACCCTTTCCGGTGAGGCCGAGGCCGGTCGTCGTGGCGAGGTGGTTCATGAGCAGCCGCCCCACTTCCCCATCCTCCCGGCCCGGCTCCCCATTAAGAATCACCTCCACGAGGTGGTCCATCGACGCCGGAGGCTTGTGAGCCTTCTTCCGCAAGGCCGTCGCCGCCGTGGTGGTGGCGGAGGGCGTAGCCACTTTCCGGCCACCCCGGGAAGGCTTCCAGCGCAGGAGAGTGGCGGCGGCGCACGGGTCGTTCAGCAGGACGCGGTCCATCGTGCTCGCCCAGGTGTCTCCGCTGGCACCGGAGAGCAACAGCGCCCCGCTGCTGCTCGCTGCCAGCAGGTGGGTGCACAGCGGCCAATACTGCGCCAAGGCCAAAATACGATTGACCTCCAAGGTCATGGCATCGGCGGCGGAGTACAGCGCCTGCGTGCCGAAGAAGGTCGAGGAGGGCAGGAGCCTTCGCAGAACCTGGCGGACGATTTCCCGGTCCAGGTCGACGTTGCTCGCGGGGAACAACACGTCGATGCACACCCGCGGAACTTCCGACGCAGCGGCGGGGCTGCGCGGGGGATTGCGCCAGATCGTTTCGGCCATCAGCGGCTGCCGCATCAGCAACGAAAACGACATGGCGTCATCAGCCCGCATGTCGAATGTGATGGGGGCGGCAGCAGCCTCGGCCTGGAGCAGAGGGGGGCGGAAGTGGAGCATCGTCGGCGGTGCGCGCTCTTCCGAGAAGGCGATGGTGAACACGGCCAGGCCCATCTTGACATGGCGCGGTGTGGACGGGCCGGGGAGGACGCGCTCCATCGAAAAGTCCGAGAATTCGCATCTGCGCACCAGCGGTGCCCATAGCTCACCGAGCAACGGGCTCCAAAAATTGTCCAAAATGGCCTCGACGTTGCACGCGCCCGGGAAGAGGGGGAGCGGCGCGATGAGCTTCAAAAATGCCGGTTTCGGGCCCGTCGCGACCCGGCGAAGCAGCGAAGCCCGGCACCAAGATGTCGCATTGGTGTCCTCGGGGATCCAGGCAACGACGTGCTCGTCGGCAAGCTGCTCCAAGATGCTCTCGTCGCCCTTCTCCAGCCGCGTGGCGGCGGCCCGGGTGGCGGGCATGTCCCAGGGGATGGGCTGCGGATAAGTCAGAATAGCGGACCACTGCGTCAGGAACTTAGGTGTAAGGTCCAGGGACCCTCCCGTGACGCATGTGCTTCGGATTTTCGTTCTAGTTTTGTTACACTTTCGTTCTTGTTTCGCTGCTTGCTCGGCTTGATCCGACGCTTTTCTGAGCCTAGATGGCAACGCAAGGAGGATGGGGGCTGAGGGCCCGCCCCAGAGGGTCGAGGGCGACACCTTCAAAACGAATGTTTCGCTAGATTTCCACTCGAGGCTCTGTCGATATATTCCAGAAAGCTGCGCCGCGCGAGGCGGGGCCCAGAGGATGGGGCCTCTCGGGGCAAGCGGGGAAGGCCCAGAGGGACATCCTGGAGGTAGGAGGCGGTTCCCCCTTCAAACCCAGGCTCTCGCGTCCGCCGCCCAAGCGCGCATGCGGGAAAGGCCGAAGGCCTTGAGATAACACTGGCAGTCGGCGTCGTTAGAAACAACGACGACGACGACGACAACGACGACGACGACGACGACGACGACGACGACGACGACGACAACGCCGCCACGAAGCCCAGGGCCGCCCGCCCGGCCGCCACCGTCGAGGAGAGGAGGGAGGAGGAGGAGGAAGAAGAAGAGGAGGAGGAGGAGCAGGAGCAGGAGGAGGAGGAGAGGAGGAGGAGGAGGAGGAAGAGGAGAGGAGGAGGAGGAGGAGGAGGAGGAGAGAGGAGGGGGGGGAGGAGGAGGAGGAGGAGGAGGAGGTGGAGGGAACCTTTCGGGGCCCCCTTGGGGGGCCTTTCGGGGCAAGGTCGGCGACCGAATCGCAAGTATTTAACGGGCCCTAAATACCTCTGGGACCCTGGGTTTGCCAAGCGCCACCTCGGACTGCAGCGAGGCCGTTGCGAACCCCCAGCGGCCCCGCCGGGGAATCTCGTAGCCCCCGAGGAGGGGGGGGGGGCGAAGAGGAGGAGGAGGAGGAGGAGGAGGAGGAGGAGGAGGAGGAGGAGGGAGGAGGAGGAGGAGGAGGAGGGAGGAGGAGGAGGAGGAGGAGGAGGAGGAGGGAGAGGCGGGGGGGAGGAGGGGAGGAGGAGGAGGAGGAGGAGGAGGAGGAGGAGGAGGAGGAGGAGGAGGAGGAGGAGGAGGAGGAGGTAGGGGAGAGGAAGTGAGTTCACCCTGGGGGGCCCTGGCCCCCAGCAGGGTAACTGGAACACCCTGAATTGCAAACTTTCGGCGAAAGCTTGCTCTCAGGTTTCAAAGGCCCTGCTGGGGCCAAAGACCTCCCATGGTGAATTCCCCTTTCCTTCCCTGTCTCGTTTCTGGGCGACGGGGGCAGCCAGGGCGACCATGATGACGACGATGTTCTCGTCGGCACCGCGGCGCATCACGCGCCGTCTCGCGCGGCCCCACGCGCAAGCACAACGGCGGCGGCCCCCTGCCCCCAAAGGGGGCGCTGGCACGAGGGCCAGCAAAAAGACCAAATCCGCAGGAACGTCTCGAGCCCCGCGGGCGACCATGCCGATGCTAATCTACCCAAGCCGCGGCGCCTCGCCACCGAATGCCTCCTCGATGTCGCCCTTCTCATCGTCGGCGGGGGCAGGCGCGCTCGCCTCTGGCGCATCCGCCGCCGCCGCGCCGCTCGGCGGCTTGCCCGCCGACGGGCGCGACGGCTCCTCCGTGGACACGCAGTCGAACCCGCAAACGTGGTTCTTCCCAGTCTTAGGCCCCGTCGTCATCTTCATGGTGAGCAGGCCTACTTTCGCGCCCTGCGGCTGCTTCACTTGCGTTACCTTGCCACGGTGGTTCACGCATGCACTGGCGCCCCTGAGGGCCTTGGTCACGCACGCCTCCATGCCGACCACGATCTTCTTCTCCCCGACACTCGGGGTGCCGCCAGTCTTCTCTGCAAGCTCCCCGCCCGCGCCGAGGCGCGCGGCGTCGGCGCCGCCCGCGGCGGCGGCCGCGGGGAGCTTATCCTTGGAGTCCTCCGCGGTCGCCGGCGGGCACTTCTCGAAGATCATGGCGAGCGTCGTGAAAGTCTCGGGGTTCCACTTCGTGTGCGTCGCGAGGTTCTTGGTGATATCAACGATGGACTGCAGATGACGCTCCTCCACGGCGCCGATGTCGATCTCGCGCTCCTCGCGCTCAATGGCCAGCCCCGTCTTCAGAGAGACCAGCCCCTGCAGCGCAGAGGCCACGATCAGCGAAATACATGGGCGCGCATCCGTCAGAGCATGGAATTTGCGGTAATACTTCACCAAGGACTTCATCACAGGGTTGGAGATGGCCTCGTCGACCTCCACGTGTTGATGGACCATCACGAGGGCCCTGACGGTCGTCGCCAATTTCTCCGACGCGTCCTCAGTGGCCGACGCTGGCTTCTTCTCAGGGGCCAGCGCGGAAAGGCATCGCATAGCATCGTCGGGGAAGATCTCGCCCAGCTGCTGGAGCCCTGGGCGCCTTCAGGAGGTAGACCATGCGCGCGGCGCCGTTGCTGGTGAGGCACGTCTTGATGAAGGCGAGCGCGTCCTTCTGCGAGTCCGTGGGCTTCTTGCTGAGAAGGTGGTCGGCAAGGGCCGCGCGGCGGTCTTTATCCAGGGCGGCGCCGTTGCACGCCCCGCTGACAACGGCGGAGGAGGGCGTTTCGAAACGGGCGGCGTTCCAAGACTTGTAGAAGTTGCTGTCGAAGAGTAGCGTGATCTCGCTGGGCCCCAGCCCCCAGTCCGAGAACTTCACCGCCTCGTCGGCGAAACTGCCAACCAAGTCCGCCTTGGCGACTTTCCTCATGATGCCAGCCATTCTCGGGACAAGGCAGGCGTCAACGGCCTTCATGTCCTTGAAGTGCCTCTGGAAGTGCGCGAACGTGCCGCACGTGTCACCCTCGAGCAACCACTCGGCCACATAGTGCATGAACACCTTCATGTGCGGGAAAATGATGCTCGACACCGCCGCGTTCAACTTCTTCGCTTCCTCGGACTTCGCCTTGACGTACGACGCGTACAAGCGAACCTTGAACTCCAGCGTCTCGGCCTCGCAGGGGCCAGGGTCGAAG